CTGGTCCTAAATGTTTCAGTTGGCTCCCACATTTTTTATGAATCTGTCCACTTTTGATCTGTAGCAAATTTTGGACAATTTTAAAATGCACTCAGCACTTATAGGAGTAGTACTACGGTTAAGAATATGTGAATCTACACATCTACTATCCCATATGTTTTCATGGCACCATGCTTAATTAAATAAGCAAAGGGATAGCTTGACATTCACTTTACTTCCTACCTTAAGCCTAACACAAGCACTGTATGCTATCTAACCCCACTATTTTGTAACTAAATTTAGGCTTTATTCTGTTACTAGCCTAAAAACAAATCAACTAGTCTACTCAAGGTAACTAGCTACCATACTGTAATGCTACTCATTACATGAGTAAGCAAGAAGAAATGACTGCATGTATAAAATAAAACTACAGTGAATCAAAGTGCAATAAGTACAATAACTCACGACGCCCATTTCAATGCTCCTATCTTTACAAATAACTAACACAAATTATGAATTTACAAATTTACACTTAGTGATCTGTTGTTACGTGAAACGTATACAGGGTGTCCCAGGAGGAATGTGCCAAACTTCGGGAGGGTGTTCCTTATGTTAAAGTATGCCGATATAACCCAAAACACCTATGTCCAAAGTTGAACGGTTACGGAGATAATGGCCCGAGAAAAGTGTGGTCTTCTAGCGGGTCCACGGATTATACCTATCAGCTGAGAGGAATTATCTCTGTTTGTCCTTGACTGCCGTGATTCATCCTATCCGTGCTTATGGAGTTGGCTTTATCAGAACGCGCAGTCAGCACGTTACGTCATCGCTTACCATTCATGTGTCATGTACAGTGCTTGGAACTCTTAACGACAACTTTGAGATGGCATGCGAGTTTTTTGTACTTCAATTTTATGGCTTCATGTCACTCACAAGTTAGTTTGATGTTACGTACATTATTAACGTTACAGAATCCACATATTCCTGCCAGTTTTAATATCTATTTTGTAATCAACAAGTGTGTAACCCCGGTCAAAGTTTGACACTTCTCTGGCCATTATCTCCGTAACCGTTCAACTTTGGACATAGGTGTTTTGGGTTATATCGGCATACTTTAACATAAGGAACACCCTCCCGAAGTTTGGCACATTCCTCCTGGGACACCCTGTATATGCCATGTGCCTGACAGATGCCAGAGATAACCTCATACTGTTACCATGTTCAAAACTACTAACCACAAAAGAGATTCATACAAAATTTGTAGCTATGATATTGCTACACAAAATTTTGCATGCCTATCTACAGTTATTCCTTGGTTATCAGTATCAAATCTAATATATATAAAAGGGTATCTTTCTAAGAACACCCAAACGTACCCATATGTTCCTGTATCATGAAATTTACTTGTACTCCTGCCAATATCTATCTATGACTATTAAAGTGAAGTACAATTATTGGAGCAGAGTTTTTGGTTGCATTCAAATGCTCCTTCCCACATACAGTCATCTGGATTTATATGGTTGATGATTTCCAGAAAAGTATCACTTAAATCAAAAATGTGTAAACCAAGAGGTAATTTTCCATATAAAAATTGGGAATACTGGGGATGGCTGTGCATATAGGTCAAGCCAGTCCAGAGATATATGTAGATACTCAGCCATGCAAAACATTTTGCTTAGTTTGTTATTGTATTTCAACTATTATTTAATTTCAGATTTTATAGTGTTGGTAAATGTATGATGAAAACTAAGATAATAAGGAAGTTTTTTATGTACTGATTATTTTAGTCTATTCATTTTCTTCTATGTGGGGGCACGCAGTAGCGTAGTGGTTAAGGCACTATGCTACAAGTCAGAAGGTCACGGGTTCAAATACCGATGAGGTCATTTGATTTTTTCAATTGACCTAATCTTTCCGGTGGCACTATGGCCCTGGGGTTCACTCAGCCTCTAACAGAAATGAGTACCAGGAATTAAATAAATAATTTTCCTGGGGAGTAAAGCGCGGCCGGCGCATAGGGCTGACAACCTTACCGCCATCTTTGAGCCGATTGTCTAGATAGTGTGGGACCCTTAACGTCTCACAATCCTATAGGCCTTCATGGCCTTTTACAGGGATAGCTTTACTTTACTTTTTACATTTTCTTCTATGTGAATGGGTTCCTCATCTTTATTCTCTACCGTCTATGCCACAAAACTGTCACCCTTCCTGCCTGTTACTGACTGCACTGTCATGTTAAAGTGAGAACTAAAAGAACAAAAATTAAGAAGTGGTATATCATCTTCAATTGCATTAAACTGAAAATGCAAAAGTCAAATGAACTAAGTCAAAAATCTTCTTCAGTTCAGTATTATGGTAATAACAAAGAATGCAACCTAGAGAAAAATGAGTACTTATGCTTGTATAAAATAAAATACAGATGTCTCAAGGTTGGCACTTTCATTTTTACACTGTACACAAGAAAGACGTAATAAAAATAGCACACTCTTTTTTTAAGATCTATCACCATGCAGAATTGTAGGATACTACATTATATGGTACTAGTACTGCTCCCACCTCTAAGTGGGCATGACGGTAAAAGTAGAACTATCAATTTTGGAAAAATATAAGCGTGGGTTGAAAAGTAAAAAAGTGTGATGACATCTAGTGGCATGACAATGATGAAGATATAAGGTTTCATGACAAAGTCAACTGATACACCATATTATCAACTTTTTAACAGGGGCCACTTTATTGTTAGGGACGATTAACAAGCACATGAGTAACAAATAGCCCCATGATTGAGATAAAAGTTATTCACCTGGTAAAGAAATCTGCTGCATTTATGCTACCTGAAGGTTCACCAATGTATTCACAAAAGCCTGACACTGAACCCTATCCTGAGCACCTATTTCTTTCAAAACCATTTTCATATTACCTTCCCATCAATGCTTGTTCTGAAAGTAGTCTCATCCTTTCACCAATTCTTAATTAAATTGTTATTTGGAACTGTCTGGAATTAATTATATTTTCAGCAAGTCGGACATCATAAGCGTGCACTCTACATCCTGAAATAATCTGTTTTTAATTTCACCATTTCATTACAGTTCTAGAACCAAGATTTTTCAGTAATCATATGCTCTCAGTGTAGGTGAGAAAATACAGCAAGCCCTGATAAATCACACAAAGATGGCATTGTGTTCATACTGCAACGCTTGGCAATGTGGGACATAAAATTACAAAAACAAACTAACTTTATCAAATGGGTAAAAATGCAGAAACTGTTACTGATTCCCCAACAAACCATGCTATTTCCATGTTGTGTGAAAATAGTAAGTGATTTAAAAAAATAGAATTAAACTGGCCTGTTGTTGTGTAATTTTATAACACAGACTTTTAAAAATTAATTGAAATTCTGAGTGCATGGAAGCACCCACTGTGGTGTATGACCACCCATTAGAAAGCCTGTGCAACTCTGATTCTTGGAAAAGTAAGTGTTTTCTCAATATACTCACGAAAGAAATCTGTGAAATTACAATAAAAACTTAACCTTGCAATCATATTAGGCAACACGAAAGGCTCAAGTATGTTTCCGTAACAACTCGAATGTTATTAAAGAGCAACCAGGTCACCCACATTGTAACAACATTCATTATTCGAGACGTATGAAGTAGTCCATGATGAGCTAGGTTTTCTTGTTTTTATGTACAATTTCTGCTCTTGAACAAGAATCATGGTTAGTATTTTCTATCAAATGCAAATCAGTTTATAAGATTGTATCTTCTTTAAAACATGAATCCAGAAGGTGTCCATATAGACTAGTCCAGCAGAATTGTGTTCAAGTGCCCTAATCCAAAACCTAAATGCTGTCATTTATTATACAGTGTGATAATCTGAATGTTAACTGAAAATCATTTGGCTACTAAGGCAGAACAGTCAGATGCTCCTCATGCCAACTATACACACTTATATCTGTCTTCAATGCAACTGCCAATTTTGGTACAATCCAGACAACTGAATTTGGAACTGGCTGTGATCAAATTACAGTGAAAATGCCATTAATATTTTTAATTACTTGAACCTACAACACTTCCATAAAGATCATAAACTACATATGGGTAAACTGTACATGGCACCTACAAATTCTATGGATTTACAGTAACAGTATAATAATAGAAGTTATATATATGTGCATATCAAAATTACAGGACAATATCCTGTCTTCCTTTTGTCATTTCTGAGGTCATATATAGTCTACAGCTTAAGCAAGTGTCAGCCTCTGTGTCAATACTGCATATGATTTCTTCAGCTGTAATACCAGCATCATTATTCTTTGGTATAACATCATGTTATTAATGTATTATGAAGAATTTATTACAGACTGTTTCTAGGCAAGGCAGTGCCTGTATGTTTTTCTGGGACAGAAATTATGTTACAACCTAATTATGCAAGAGACAAATCACCACTTATTATAACAAGCCATAAAATTTACTCTTCTGACTATATGGTTTCAAGACAAGCTCTATCTGTACTTTTAGATTATTCTGGTATTTGATGTAACTGATATGAAACTAACAGTAATATATTTCATGTTCACCAATTTCAACAGGTTATTCCCTTAATGCCAACTAAAAACTGCATCAATGGGATACAATCTAAATATAACTATTCCAATTTTAAGTTCACCGAAAACACAGCAATAACAGAGGTAGTGCAACGAATGCTGAGACATTTTTAAATGCCTCCAACAAAAGGCAGGCATACCAGTATTGTTGTCGATAGTGCATCTAGGATCGTGGGCAAATCTACCTCATGAAGAACTAATCACAGTGGTTAAAGACTGCCATTTATCTCAGAACTGAAACCAAGTTGCATAGGTTAACTTCTACTAAGGCCCACCAACAGTAAAGTTACATGGCGCATTCCTTCGTATAACAACGCTGTACTTGACTCAGACTACACAGTAATACAATGATTTCTACGGTTTTAATAAATGTGGGGCTATGAATGCCATATTGATTTCTTTCTAAGATTTTCCTTACCTGGTGAGTAGGAATATTAACACTCCCATCCTTCGAAGTCTTCACATTCACCGTCAGTATGCAAGTGTCTTTGGAATTCCACACGAATAATATATCTTCCTTGCACTCTATAATATTCCTTGTTTTAGGATTCAAACTGGGGAGATGTTCACGCAAAATTTGAAAAAGTTTTCGCTCACTAAGACCAAGACAATCCGTTCCTTCTGCCATGATGTTTATATCAGTATAGCCAACTGCGATGACAAAACATTGGAAGGAAGAGACTAGGCGCCAAATTTAAAAGTAAGTGGCTCCGAATTAGTCGTTGTTTGAATTATATTAGTGAGTTTAGACATTCTTTACACAGAAATTACCAAAACATTCACATTTTTATGGTTTAAAAAATTATTAATTCTTAATTTTTGATAATTTTCGAATTTTTAAATTTAGAAAATGTTAGATTCTTTTAGCTTTATAATAATATTAGGATTCTGAAGCTTATAAATCTATCAAATTTTTTACATCATCATCATCAGTAATCTGTCAAGACGGCAGGTCCACAGTCTCTTACAAAACAATTCCTCCATTTAATGCGACCTAGAGCTTTCTCCTTCAAATGACAGTATCCTCTTCTGTCCCCAAGGTCATCCAGCATCTTCTTACGTCTTCTTCCTCGTCTTCTTGTCACTTCTATCCGCCCCTCTATCTTTCCTTCGATAACTTCTTTTAGAAGGCAGTTTCTGCGTAAAACATGACCAATCCAATTAGCCTTCCGATTTCTTATTTCGTGTAGGATATTCCTCTGCTCAATGACTCTAATTAACACTTCTTCATTTCTCACATAAGCGGTCCAACTGATCTTCTCCATCCTTCTCCAACACCACATTTCGAAACTTTCCAGATGTTTCTGATCTACTGCCCTAAGTGTCCATGTTTCAGCCCCATACAGAGCTATGCTCCAAATGTAGCATTTCACTAGTTTCTTCCTCAAATTTAAGTCCAATTTGCTGGTAAAAATATTCCTCTTCTTGCTAAATGAAGCTTTTGCCATGGCAATCCTGGATTTAATTTCACTAGTACACCTTCCATCATCTGTTAACAAGCTACCCAAATATTTAAAACATTTCACATTCTCCAGTTGTTTTTGGTCTATCTTTATTGTACTGGGGTTGGTTGTCTCGAAATTTTCATTACTTTTGTTTTTTCCACATTCATTTTTTACATTGTCTAAATTTGTCTAAATCGTTAAATTATCTTCAGGTCTATTTTAAATGCTGAAAATTTTGAAATACTCCTAAGTGTTCAGATTGTTATATTATAGAAAATTTTCTTTTCTTTTGAAACTGGATAAAATGTTGATAACTTTAAATTGTTCAAACATTACAACTTCAGTTTTCAAGTACTGAATTCTTAGAATTTGCAAGAAAGTGAAATTCCATCAAACTTCAGGAAAATCTAAGAACTTAAACATTTCTAACATTCTGAAGTTTTGAAAATTAAAAATTAAACAGTTCTAAGTCTTTATAAATTCCAAATTTTAGTGTGTTGTGTAGTTACTGATATCTTAGGATATTTCCAAAGTTTGCATTTTCTCCAAACTTTAATTTTTTAAATATATGAGTCTTCGAAAATCTCAACTTCGACATTGCCTAAGGTTTTCAATTAATTTTAATTCCCTAAAATATTTACAAGTTTATATTCACGAAGAATGTCAAATATTTATATTTTGAAAAAACTTTAAAAATATTAACATTTGATGATATTCAAGTTCATCTGGTTAGAATAAGGTACTTTGTGTTAGGATAGTTTACATCAGGTTTAGGTTAGGTTAAGTTCCTTTGCGCAGTGTAGCACTGATCATCCACCTGAAAATTTGGAAAGAAGTTTGTCTAATTGGGTTATAATAGTTTAGGTTAGGTTAGTGCAGCAGGCAACTGTTCCTCTTCTCCTCTGTAGTCCCTTTAAGAAAAATAGAGGTTTATATTTAGAGAAGTTTGTTTTATACGAACAAGCTCTGCTGAAAATTTTCATTTCGTGCATCCTGTTGTGTTATTATAAACAATTTTTTATTGGAGTTCGTCCTAACACAACAACATAACGGTCAAGGTTAACATTACCTTAGCTACATGTTTCGGCTTTTAAAGCCATCATCAGGCGAAACATGATTACTATATTCACACACTATTGAAATGCTGTTACATTGTGACAGTAAAGCTGGATACTTGATAACTCTTACATTATAAAATAAAGGCATAAAAATACAATGAATTATAAAATTATTATAAAACGAAAGTTATGAAATAGAATATGGTTAAAAACTCTTCATGTGCATATTATGAAGTCAGTTGTTGCAATGTTGTTGTTATATTCCCGCGGACATACAGCGGTATATTAAAAAATTGTATACCAATAGGAAACTGCTTGGAGGCCCCTGGTTTAGGTGTAGTATTATTTGACATTAATTGTTTGGCCGGTGCCTCATTTTGTAATGTATTTTGTCCTCTCTGTTGGGAATGCAGATTGTAATATGTATATCTACTAATGTTTCTCAACCGGCCGGGTGCGTCCCGCTAGTTAGACTTGACGTTCGACCAAGTGAAACGTGAGGTCTCGAAAATAATAAGTAATTCGGCCATAAGAGTCAGTTACACAAAATCTTCCGACATTCTAAGTACACGTTTTTCATCGATGCTGCATTCTAATAGCATTTCTGCTAGTAGACCCGTATGGTAACACATAATTATAATAATAAAACGAGTAAGAATAATTACAATCTTTAAATGTCACAAACAAATCATGAG